AAAAAATATATTGTTAGTTGAATTTTGTTGTCAACATTTACAATGTATTGAAATATATGATAAAGATACTAAAAAAAAACCACACATAATAATTTGTTATATTGATGTAACATATGTTTGATGATCAACCGCCATCGAACACCACAATCACTCACATTTTGTCATTGTCAAAAAATAAATTGTTTTTCCAAAAAAAAAATAGGGGTTCCATATATAAATAATTAGTGTACATGTTTATGTTGATCAAATAATGATCTTTTAAACATTAAAAATGCCACCAAATAATAAAAGTGATAAAAAATGAAGAAATCAAAAGGAAACAAAAGAATCATACGAGTAAGTGTTGTTTATCATGGTGATGGTTGTTGTCACTCTAGTTATTTTTAAAAGAATGGTGGTGGTTACAATCAAATAACATTTTTTTTAAAAAAGTCTAATAAAAAAAAGGAAAAACAAAGAAAATAATACTGCTGAAAAAAAACAAGCAAGTGTTTATTATAAGAATGGTAGTTATCACCATTTGTTGTCACTCTAGTTATAATTAATTAAAATTTTTACTTATACTTAACTGACTTTCAATGAAAATTCTTTAGCAACATTGATGAGTTTGACGTGGTTGACCGAACCATTATTGATTTTAGTAGAAAAAATTTTAATGACATTGACACTTATTCTATTATTCTTGCATCAAATTTGGAGTCTTTAATTAAGTCTTCAAAAAGATATAAATATTTCCAGTGAATATGAATTTTTTTGTTTGTTTTGTATCTATTTCACGGTCAAATTTTGCAAATTCTAATCATTTTATCTATCAGTTTATATAATTGTAGGATATTATATTTAGATGCATTTGAATTAGAATGGATCCCCGGCACAATAATCAAGATCAAATCACTCAGCCTACCAAGAATCAGCCAATTGCAACCACAATTAATAAAATTGTTGGAAGTGTTGGAAGATCTGGTAACTATTGATTTTGAATTAGTTGAAAATTGGTTAGAAATATATAATTGATCTATAAATATGATTATAGGGAGGTTTTAAAACCTGGTTTGATTTCAGCAACCACATCAGACATAATTTTTATCATCTGGTTGAAAATTTGTGGCAAGATCCTGAAAAAGAAGATGAAAAAACAATAAACTATATATTTGATATGATTCTTCATTAGTGAGTATAGTTCTTTTATTATTGAACAATTGGATTTATATAGCTGTGAGCAATTTCATGTTTTACATGGATTATTTATTCTACAGTTGCGATCTCTTTGATACTAAATCACGAGAAACTCTTGAAGGAGATGCAGGAGTCAATCACATGGTGCTGTTGACAAAACTTATACACAATCATTTAAAAATTACTTTGTAAATATTCTTATATTTTTGTTTATTTCATTGCTATATACAAACATTTAACATTTATTGTACATTAGTGGAGAATATAATAGCACTGCTGTTAAATTTCAACGTGACCTTGGATGCCCACTCCAAATGGGTGGAAGAAACTCAAAAATGGACCTTGTAGGTATTTATCAAGGTTATGAATTTTTATCACACGAGAATTCTTTTGATCATAAAGACACCACTAAAAAACACAAAAAGATTTACTTAAACTTGCTACATATGCACAGGATGGATCATTTTTAATATGGCGGGATGCACATAAAGATGTTCAAACTTCTTTCAATCAAATTTTGCAGTATCTTGTTGAAATAAGAACTTGGGGTATCCATCTACTACATCAGGAAATTTTTTCTGATGTAAATTTACGTAATATTATGGGGCCCACCATAAACTTATGTAAATAGTGTAATATTATGCAAAAATTGCACAAAAATTATGCAATTATTACATTCAGTGTAAATATTATGTCCTTTTTATGTGAAATATTACAATATTTCATATTAAAACTTATGGATGTAATATTACGGTGGGAAAAGTTTCCTGATGTAGGACAAATGGAAGGACATCAAGGCCTTCATATCGAAGTCTTTGGGATGAGGCAAGCAAAATGTGGATTGTTTTTACTTTCAAAATTAGATTCATTTCCGCTGCCAAATGAAGAATTGCCAATAGATTTCTGATGTATTGCAAAGCCAATAGAAACTATGATTTGCCTTGCAGTAAGTTTGAATATTTATTTAGAAATGTTATCTTTTATCATATAATGAATTAACATAATCTCTTTCATTTATTAGAGTGGAATCAAAGAGTCCACAAAGCACCTTCAAGAATTGCATCAGGTTATATCGAAAATTCGCCATGGAGAACCTATGGGAGTTTCTAAAAAGCAGGAATATATTCAATCCAATTCTTTTTATATTGGTAGATGATTAGGGTTTTTATTCATGAATATTATGAATATCATTAAGAGGGTTACACACTATTAAAACAGCAAAAGATCCCTTAAAAACATGAGTTGATCACTTGATTTTAATAGTGTGTAACCCTGTGTGACCCCTTATGATATCCATGAATACAAACCCTATAGATGATTATTTTTAGAATTATTGCATAAAAAAAAATCCAATTCTTTTTATACTGGTAGATAATTATTTTAGAATTATTGCATTAAAAAAAAATCCCAATTCTTTTTATATTGGTAGATGATTATTTTTAAGAATTATTGCATAAATAAAGATTTAAAATGATTTGCTATTATTATTATCGTGTAATGTTCACTTTGTTGGGTTTTGTTTCAGTATGCCCCATATTATAGATTTTGAGAATATTTTAGACGAAGAACCAAAATTTGGATCACATTTCAATCATGTTTGTATTTTAATTAATTCTTTTTTTATATAGAAATTGAAAAATATTCATGAAGATTTAATGGAAATTTATAGAAATGCAAATTATTGGTAATTTTTATAACCAGATGTGTATATAAAATTATTGATGTTAAAATGCAAAAGATTACATATTTTAATTTTATATTTTTTATACAGTGATGTTATAAAAATGGGTGTGATAAACTTGGATGACGAAAGGAAAAACAAATCTAGTGGATATACCACTATTTCAGAGTTATACAAACGAAATTTTAATAAATATACAGATGATATAATTGAAAACCAAAGAATCAGAAATATCATAAATGAAATATCTCAGATAACTAACATTGATAAAATGATTGGATTTGTAGATAAATACAAAATGCTTGTAAATTTAAAATTGGACTCAGAATCAATAATAGATAATTTTATTTTTTTCAGCAGTAAACATTTTGTAAGTCTAATCTAATAAGGAACAAAGAAATCATGGAAATGAGGAGAGAGTTAGATTGGCATTGGTGCCTGATATCAAATTGGCTTATTTAAGAGGAAACATGGAAATAATTGTAATGGAACACCAAAAAC